GTGGACAAGGTGAATTAACATCGACCAACGAAGAATGCGTATAGGTGAGAATGACTCACGATCAATAATTCAATTTCATATCTAACGTTCTTAGGAAGGTTAGATTAATAACCACTCGTCGATCCGTTTAAAATAACCCGATGTTAAGCGTAAAAATCGATCGGCTTTGTTACACGGTACAGAAAACACCCTATTTTTCAATATCCACACCCTAACGACACTCGCTGTTTCAACGAAGATATTCAATACGGTGATTGTAGGTGTCTCGAGTTTTATTAGCGATTAAAGATGACATTTCACTTTGAGGTATGTTAGTTGCATCGATTTTAGTATACACGGCTATCTTTATTTTATCGAGGATATAAATTCTCCGCTCGCGTTATGTCGTGGGTTTAATTTATATTGTAATGGTCAACAGGTGTAGAAATGGGATCAAGTTCAATATGAATTCACTGTATTGTATCACTTCTAATATTATGATTATTATGTCTAATTTCGATTGATTGCAGTCAAAATTTCTATTGATTGTAATAAGTATCAGGTCGGAAGGGTTAAAACTGACATTCCCTTTTTTCTCTGCGCATATATTCATTTATGAACGGGTTGAAGCTGTCAGATGCAATATTGTACATACTTGAAACTGATTTCTAACCATGAGATGATATCGAAGAAATCGAGACGTTTTTCCCCTCGAAGGGTAGTCGATTTTGATCTCGATGGTTAACGGAACAAATGGATTTCAAGCTTCTCCTTGGCAAACTTTATCCGTAGCTAATCGCTCGTGCCACGGTTCCTTGTGGTGGGCACGGAACGAACGCCATTCACGTTGCCCGGGCAAAAGCCGCTGTCTTTTATCGTTCTTTTATCCGCGACTCGATTCTCGAAAGCGAGTGAAAGAAGTGGCGCTTCCTCTACGCTTTTTCCTCGACAAACGAGGAATGCAGTGGTCGAGTAATCGTTCTTCGACTGCAACTATTCCAGTGATTTCGCGAAAGAAGAATCGTATCCAGGTTTCATTCTTTTTTACCTCCCTTACACGTTTCTGATTCTTTTAATTTTATTACTGCTTAAAGCACGGTTCAATTTGGCCATTTGGACAAGATGGCTATTATTTTTAATTAATTAAAATTCAATTTTTCTAAATGAATTTCTAAGGCGCCTATAAGCGCCAATTGATAGTACTGATAGGATTAATTACATCGAGTCTTTCTATTATATATGAGAGATGAAAAAATTACCTAACGTTGCAAGAAATAAATTCCTCGATGAACAAACAGATGATGGATGCTTATCAAAGATGAATCATCAATAGCGCTTGTACAACCCCAATCGCTACTTGTATCAAGCTTATCTTGGAAGAAGTAAATGTGTGCTATGACATGATACTGAAACAATTCGTGATTAGAAACTGACCTATGGGCCTCATTAAAAATTAGAAAATATCAAGTCCTGAAGAGATTTAGCAAAGATGTAGAATGTTTTTCTTTGCAACGTTTAACACATGTATAAAGTTGAACCGTTCTGGTGACGGTAACAGAATTTTCTTCGGTTCCGTCGCTTTCGCGTTTTTCTCAAAGCTGACGAAAGAATGGTTGCAAGAGAAGAAGAAGAAGAAAAAAAAGAAACCGTGTCCGAAGCAAAGCGAGAAATAAGTCGTGCAACGGTGCTACGTATTTCCGTTCTAATGACTAGCAAAAACTTGACACCTGCATCGACACTAGTGTCGGAAACAGCTCAGATCGTGCCGAGAAATCGACCGATTTCAGGAGTTAGCCTTGCGTAACGAGAATTTTCCATCTTTTCTATCCGAGATACGCCAATTGTTTTGAAAAGAGGCTGCGCCTTTGCCAGACGTTGCATAACAAATGTAACGAGTATAAATGCGATAAAACTGCCGGGAAACCCCTGCTATATATTCTTGAACACCGTTGATTACTATCAGTGAAACTAGTCAGACAATGTCATTGCAACTTGACTGAACAGAACACACACGAAGAATATAAGAAGCATGAGAAGCATGTTGCTATTAATATGTGTAGAAATACAAACAGGTATAATATTTTTACTCTGTTGCATTTGTGTTTATAAGCATGACTGGGCAAAATAATGTATCAAGGTTATTAACCCTTTCGGTCCAAAGAGTATGAATTCAATGGATATTTTAAAACGGCAATTTATGGCAAAAAATTAACTAAATTGATTTATAAGTGTATCATATCTAATAAAATTAGATAATCTCATTTTCGTTAAAATAAATCATGATCCAAAGATATAATACAGATACTCCTTTCAGTGCAGAATATGACAGGATGTTGTTCCTAGGAGAAATACTCACTGAGCACCAACAATAATGCATACGTTACTATAAAGGAGGATTTTGCGCAACGTTAACGAGACGATTCACGTCCCGAATGACTGGCTTATTTCGAAAAGGTCTTCCGCGACACGCCGTTAGGCTCGACTACCGGTTAATTAACGACGTGACACCATAATTGGCCCGGTAATTCGATCCGCTCGTAGATGGATCCTGGTGCGAGTGCTTCGCGTGTCCCGGGGCCCACGGGTTAAAACGGACCCGCGCACATCGTTAAATTAAAATCCCGAGACGAGCTGCGGCATAACCCATCGCCGCGGTTGCTCCGCGCTGGCCCATCTCGGCGGTGTCTTCTAATTTGCAACGCATAATATTTGAATAATTTGCACGCGCTAATGGGACCCTGGCCATGGATCCTCCACTCGGATGCATACAGAAACACCTTGGAAACTTCATCTTTTCATTTCTTTTTTTCTGCTTTCTCTTTCAAAGTAATACGAACGGTTTACTTGAAATCATGATAAGCAATATCGTGCCGGTTATCAAGCACGTATGACGAATCCGCTTGCAAGCACTTGATCAAAGCGTGCGACGCGACCGCATCTAATCGCGAACATAATATCTTATCAGTGACGTATACCTACGACGGCGTTTTCGACTCCCGCCGGTTCAACATAATGAAGAATTTTCGAATGCGCCACGTTCCTTATCTACCTGGCATTGTTATTGTTTGCAAACTTTTGCACTCTATCGTGGAAAAAATTTACGCGTTTGATCGATTTTATTTTATTAAAGATGCTGACGCATCGTCCCTGTGACTTTTACGCTCGTTTTTCTACGTTTTAACGACAGACAGATCACATGATGAAACCGCGTATGAAATTTTAGATATATAGATATTTAGATAGATAGAACGTTTGTCTCTTTTTTGTTTGAGATGGAGAAAAGAGGGAGATTAAATATTTCGTTTGATGCAACTGTACGAGGCAATAGAGAAGGGGATTATAGTTATTTTCACGAGATTTATCGATCAATGCTCGATCGAATCGCGTGTTAAATTCAATGATGAGTCAGATCTGACTAATGATTATGAAACCTGTAATTGCTGTGAACCAATTCTTCGAATTTTTGTGCTCATCAATGAATTTTTGCGACTTATCGAACGTTTAACATTTCTCATTGACCACTGAAAAATTTAATCAAAATACCTATGCGTGTCTTCAATTTTTATTTTTATAATCTGCAATTCTACAACTTTGCAAAATGGTATTTATATTTCTTAGCTTGAAAAACTTTTAATTTTAGTCCAAAATTAAAGTTCATAGAAAGATAATACAGAACGGGCAAAAGTGCTAACAGAAAAGTAACAAGTTGATGAAACTAAAAGAAAAATGATGTATAACGACCTACAAGTTTCACAAGATTTGATGTCACTTGGTATAAAATTGTATCACTGCGTCAGTATCAAAGTCTGATTTCATCAAATGTACAAATAATCAACAGACGTTTAATCCCTTCACGCGGCATGAATTTCAGTTATTTGAACCTGTTCTATTTAGCGACATCAAAAATAGTTTAATTTACAGCCATATGTGGGAAATTATTATAATTAATTGCACATTATAGATTTGTAAAAAAAATTCAATTTCTGTTAAATTTGTTAAAATTGAGAAAAATGCCATAGGTTTACTTATCTAGCACCAATATACTTTATAAGGTAAGACTATGCTGGAATTTATTACCGGATGCTCATATCTTTCCAGCTACAGGAAATGGGTATATTTTTTAAGCATACCGTAGATACTTTAAATTATCAATTGGTTACTGATCATAAGATATAATTGAATTTGATTATTTTTGCTTTGGAACAGCTTGATGAGACGAATGAATGTGGTCAAATAAAAATATGATCACTGAAAGCGTACATTAACCCTTCCACTATGACCGTCTGAAATAAGACTTTATTTCCAGTCAAATACCCCCATCATAGTTATATCTTCCTCTTGATTATAATTTTTAAATTTGCATTTCATATCTCTTATATCAAAATGTAAATACTTTACATCGAATGACTACAATAATCGCTCGTAATATCAGTGCTTATCTGTTGGTGATTAAATATAAAGCAAATTATTAGAGATGAATATAACACTTCGTCACGAACGTGAATATTCACCGGGTGAATAAAATGAGTAAAATTGAGCTAATATTAACACAGGTGGTACGGATCTGTGAAACCATCCGTCTTCCGAGGATCAACCCAACATTAAATAATAAACATGCACACAAAAATCCAATAACTCAAGCAAACCACTTCTCAATCAAAAAGAAAAATGACAAATATCCTAATAACTATGGACATCGGTATATGTAGATTATAGTATAGAAGCATGTTCAAAGGGTTAAGAGGTACGCGTAATGAAATCATCGTGGTTACCGAGCGGGGGTCCGAAGCTACGTGTGTCTCTATCCCCCACGCAAAGCGGAGGTAAAAGAATCGGCGAGGGTGGCGTAGCCGCAGGTGGGAGAGCCAGGGAGAGCCTCTCGAGGTAGCCCGGAGGAGCAAGAACGAGAGCGAGAGGAAGGAGGTTGGGTGTCGTAGGAGGCGGTGGCAGGAGGGAAGGAGGTGGTACCGTGTGGCGAGCGTGCGAGAGCGAGAGGACGAGGTGAGTAGTGAGTCCGTGAAGCGGAGTGAGTAACAGGGAGTCGCAACCGAGGACCCACTCAGTCACCACGAGATCGGCAAGCCGAATGGTCAACCGCGCCGGTTCTCCCGTTCGGTATAGTCTGCGCACAACTCGAAGGGATCAAAACAAGGACACGTTGTCGATCGGCGTGCCAGTTCGCGGATGCGTTTCGTCGACACAACCCGAGGGATCAGGGAATCCGAACGCGCGATGTGGAGATTTTTAGTGCGCTGTTATGTCACTTTGACATCGATCTGACGTGATTTCTCATCGATCGTATCGTCTCGACGAGCCTGATATCAACTTCGAGAACTGACTTTGCCCGGAGGGAAGGATCGCGGACGGACCGGAAGTGTGTGAGTGGATGCGAGCTAGAAGTGGAAGACTCTCCTGCAGGAGGACGAGGAAGAGATGATCGAGCTGCTGGTGGCCGGAGCGTTCGCCCTCGCCACACTAAGGCGGTGTGTGTACATTGCTAAATTCTACCCACTTTCTCTCTAGCTTTTATCATTTCTTACGCTATTTCGACAAAGAAACTCATCTTTTCTTTCGAACCGAATCGTGACAGGAGCAAAGGTCGCTCACCGCGAAAATGCTCGATCAAAAGCTTTGACGGACGTCGCGTCGTTTTTATCGATCACACGATGTTAAAACATGGATTTGCTAGTGTCTCTGGTTCGTTTCGATTGAAAAAAGAAAAAAATGCTCGTTTATTTCTACCTAGGAGTCACTTGCAGGAAAGAACTAACGACAAGGTGTATCTAGCGAGTTTTGCCGTAATGTACATAATGATGCAGTGACACGTGAGGATTCCTCGCTCTGTCTCGGCTACTTTGCTTCTTTTTTTTTTTTTTTTTCATTTATTCTACAAACCCTGGTAAAAAGGGTCTTTAAATGCGTATAGAATGCAGTGGTACTTCAATTGTCTGCTATATTCAGAAATAAGAAAATTCCGTTAGTAATTGCCGCTCTTTTTCTTTTCTGTTACGTTCTGTTTCGCCATAAACGTTCAGGTATTTTGTTATTTTATGATTATTTTGAAACTGTCAGATTGTTTTACGGACAATGTATAAATTTGCAACGCAGAAGATAACGATTACTTTTTAACTGATGAATATCTGACAGCAATATTTATGCGATTATTTCACTCTCGATTTTCTAGTTTTTCTCGTCATTTACCATTTCAATTTTCTTCAATCGTTAGTAGTTTTTCTCTCGACTCTTCGCGCGTAAGACAGCCTTTGGATCTGATCGGCGAGGACGACTAGACTTCTTAGATCATAATTATACGATAATCGCGTTGACTAAATGCAACCGTTGATTGTTGAATTAATTTATTATGGCCTTAAGATTTTGCACGTCGCGTCGTAAAGCATATCCTCTTTTCCGATCAAGAAAGAATATAAACTTATTACCTTCGACAAAAACGATTCGTTATTTATTACACCGGTTCAAATTTTGATAGAAAGTAACATTTATCGTAATCGAAAGTTGCAAATCATCGATCGATTTTCAATTGGACCAGATTAGTCATTTCTTCTGGCAGCATATCACGGTATAATCGTTATCTATTACGTGAATCAAATGTAGAATTGAATCATAACACTGTGCCTAGGAGTCACCTGTTCCAAAATTATTAACTACGTAATGTTAAGATAATTGTAATCAAAGATTTCGGCACAACTGATGAGATAAAGATGGAATCAAATGTAATATGAATTCAAAATACAATTTTCACTTGATAGGATTTGAATATTATTCTTAATAGGCGGTGTTTCAATTAAATCCCAATTTTTCTAATTATCAACGAATTTCCAAGTTAAGCTAAAAAATTAATGAGGTTATTCTTTTCCTGTAGAAAAATAATTCACATGATTGCTGATGTAATTATTCATTAATCTTACGTTTCTCTTTCACTTTTCGATTCATTTCGTGTTTTCTTTTATTTGAAATCTGAAATTTGTGCAATTGCGTGTTGCTCTCTGTATAAGACAAAAGAGATAATAAATATTACTTTTAATCATAATACCAATGAACGTAAGCGATATTTTTTCAATGATAAGGCGATACGTATATACATTTTTGTGCATAGATAACCGAGAAATGTATTGTCCCGATGCGGTTTCAAATGACAGCACTTCTGCTCGAGTGAATCCTATTAATACCTCATCGATCATTAATAGACGATTATGGGAGAAAATTAGTAAACGTATGACTAAGCGTAAAACCTAATCAACGCACGAGCATGATTTCTCGCGTGTTTATTTGGCTTCGGAACTGATGCTCAGGAAGAAAGATATCGTCCTTTCTAACTTCGATATTTCTTTCATCTCCTCGTCATCGTATCGCGCTCTTTCAAGAAACGTGACACGAGTCACGAAGAGAAAATCGTATGGAGAGAAAACATAGTATCGAGTGTTTTTTCATTATCTATATAAAAATAATTAAAAATTAAGTGTTTGATTTCTGGAGCGTTTAATTTAAACTTTCGGTACCTCTCAGTGATACTAAATAAAAGGAACCATGGTATTTTCTAATCAAAAATCTTTCTTGAAGCACGTCTTGAGAAGGGCAGAAAGATAAAGCGCTTGCGAAATTTAAGATGCCATATCATTTTACTAAAATTTTGATTTGGACTTGTTTGAAACGCAAAGGACCAGTTTCTCGAGGCACGTTTCTCTCTCTAGTTAATTTATGTTTTCCAACTCGATTTATATGTCGGATTGAATTCCTAACTCTACAATAATTATACGATTGGTTCTATTCAAGCACCATGGCTAATATACAACCGTGTAATTAGAAAATTCTTTTACTTTTGAAATGAAATGTTCAAGTAGTTTCTAATATTGTTTTCTCTCAGCTGCAATCGTATAAAAATTTTATTATCAACAGGAAAAATGATGCTTTTATTATTATCTTACATTTGAAGCACCGATTACCGATAACACTCTCTTCCTTCACATCAATGTGTTAATGATTAACATCTTAGGATGTCTACTCTATTGCTCATTCTAATTAGTCTCGATGTGTTTCGTTTGTTTTATCCCTCCCATGGTGTTGACATGATTAGTAGATGAAAATGAAAATACATGTACCCTGTTCGTATGATTGTATCCAAAAAGATGGACCTATCACATTAACCAATCCTTTCTCTAGCCAACTTCTCACCTCGACACCGTACATTAAAATGTCCTCAACTTTCTTTTCTTTCGCGTTTCGTAATTATCTCGTGGTGCCTCGCCCTCTCGGCCCGCTATTCAAACAATAAATCCTCTCCAACAGTGTCGTGGAGCAGAATGAAATGACATCTGGGTTCGCCTTGTGTCATGGCGCAAATGAGATTTCTTCCATTACGAGGATAGGGTATCAGGAGAAGTTTGGTCCCAAAATTAATACTTTAAATTCTATTATAAATTGTTGGGATGTAGCTATTTTCCTTAACCCTCGGACGACGAACCATGGAGAGAGCCCTCCCTTAAAACATGGCCCAATACTCTTGGATTCGAAAAATGAAATTTTCTTACAATTTTGAGTTGTGCCCAGAATTTTGGAATAAGGTACCAGTATATGGCTGTGGCAACCTGTAGCCGCCTCGTGTGTTCCTGCTAGGATGAACAGGCAGGCTCAGGGGTCTCTGATAGAGGCGTGCGCCGTGTTGATCCGGGACACACACGGACTGTTTACACGGGGTACCATCGCGGACCCTTTTTTTCCTCTTATTTCTCTTGTCGTGTTAGCTCCGAGTCGAGTCACAACACTAGTAAAGTTACAAAAGCCAAAGGCAAACAGATCCGGGGACGGGCCTTAACCGGTTTATCAAACACTCGTGCGGCCCGGAGGTGGTCTCGTACGTTGCTGAAAAGTGACGAAGACGAGGAGATGCGGCGAACGGAAACGACGACGTCGACGTCGTCCTCTTCCTGGACGACGCATGCGTGATGTGTACGTTTTCGCGACCAGCCGGGGAGAGGAAGTTCACTGCTCTTGATGGCACACCAGACGAAACTGATCGTTCCCAGGGAGGTGGAGTGAAGCGGACGAAGGAGGAGTCAAACAGTGCCGAGGCAAACCTTCTTTTCTTTTGTCAGGTAGAACTGGAGCCGCCGTAAAACGATGTACCAACCCTTTGGCTGGCTACTTTATTCGTTTTATATTCCAATGGCTGATATACCCAATCAGGGCCAAATTAGTTTTGCATAGTTACCATTCAAGTATCATCATTTTAGTACGTTTCTGTGTATGAAGGTTCTGCTTGTTTGTATAGGATCATTTTTACAATTGTTCTTTTCTAGGAGCGACATGCGTATAGTCGCAGCCACCACTTAGTAGTATAGTTTTAAATTCGGTCAGCCACAAAAGTACACCAAATCCAATCTGACATTTTTCTGTATGTTGAAATGATTTATGTATTAATATTATTGATCATATGTCATCGTTTTTTTTGTTATTTTTTATTATTCAAAATGCAGCGACATTAATTAGTACTCATTTTTCATGTTTTAAAATAACCTTATCTTCATCGTGTAGGGGTTAATTCTGGTAATCCAGTTTCATTTTGAAAACAATTACGATACTCTTAGAGGTAATATCTAAAAAATTATCGTTGGTAAAACAACAGAATTTCTTAAATTTCCGCCGGATATAAACGTAATTATCTCGATCGCATTTTTCATTTTTGCTCTCCGCGAAAAAGTGGTAGCGAAAATTCCCAAGTCAGGGGCGAAAGTAACAAAGCAATTTCACCAACTGAAATTATACGCTGCATTCCAATCATCGAAATAGGGTCGCAAGAGAAAATCTTTCGAAATTGCACCAAACGTAATTTGTCCTTGCATCGACCCCCTTCACTCGTACAGAAAATTACGTGAAATGACCAAAAACTCTGGATGATCATAAAAATCTTACAGGCACGGTACCGAAAAAATATAAAGAACGTTTTGATTTGGAGGATTTAATAACCATTGATGATGAATCGTGAAATATATTTTGTTAATATCCTTTTCTAAGTCGCTTTTATGATAATCGTAAAAAATATGAGCACCCAAAAGTGACTCGAACACGCATTTGGATGCGGTTTCGGGTTCATCAAGGTTCACCGGACATATTATATGGGACGGACGGGCATTCCACCGTGAAATGAAAATATTATGCCAGTCCCTCGACTGTTGAGCGACACTGGATACGTGGGTCATTATGGCCACCTCTTTGTAGTTTTTCTTGCAAAACTACTTATCGTAACAGAAAGAAAAATAAGAGAATGACGTTACTTGAAGAAGTTTGATAATCAGTTTTTATAGAGTCTAAATTTGACCCTCTATACACTGAAAATTTAAGTTACGAAGGGTTGAATTTAAATTGTGGTTTTCCGAGTGGCGCATCGTCCAAAGGGTTGAACATCGAAATGAAGCAATTTACCAAACCGTGTGACGACTTTATACGTGAAATTATAACAGACAAGACGTT